GCTCCCCAGATGATGCTAGTGGACAGGTCCCTAAAAAGTAAGAGGCCAGCAATGCCTGTGCCATGCAGAGGGTCCCTTACCTCACCAAAAGCCCCTCTTCCAATCACTTTGATGATCTCAAAGTCTTCTCGATGAAGCTGCATGTCCTTCACAAGCTGTGTGAACGGCTTAGCTATAAACAGAAAGAAAAATACCAATTTAGTCCAGCATACTAACACTCTCATAAAAGCTAAAAGATGGAGGTACCACACCACATTATAGGTTTCTCTGAGTGTGGATGTTTATCAACAGTTACATTTCAGTATCTACTGTAGTAAATACCACTGCTGTGAAAATCTCCTGGTTAAAAAAATAAAACAAAACAAAACAAAACAAAAACAAAAAAACCACTGTAAATTTCCTGGTCAGATCCACGCTGGTCCACTGAGGTAGCAACTGGCATGTCCCCAATTGTCATAAGGGGCAGCAGTTCTGCCAGATGATCATAGTGCTGGGGAGGGTATTTCTGTGGTCCCTACTTGTGTGATGCAGGAACCATGGGACAGCCAGGGAACAGGAGGCTCATGCAGGACAGAGAGATGCAAAGATCGTGCAGCATTCTCAGGGAGCTAGCTGCAAATGGGCCTTGGTAAGACAGGTGATCTCTGCTGGGACCATCTGCCAGTCAGACACTTCATGTCACTATGTAGTCTTCAGAGCAACTCTTTGAGAGTACGTCTATTACTGTCATGTTTCATAGAAGAGTAAACAGCTGGGCTTTTGGAAGGTGTAGAACTGGGATGAAGTGTTCCCCTGAAATGTGACTTTATTTGGAAACAATGTCTTCACAGATATAACCAAGTTAACATGAGGTCATATACTGTAACAGGGTGGGCTCTCAAGTCAATGAGATTGGTGTTCTTACAGGAAGAAAACTTGGGACAGCAGCAGGAGGGAGAAAAGGCCACATGAAGACAGAGGATGGAAGTAGAGAGAACAAACCAGCTAATACATGGAACGCTGGTAGCCACCAGGAGCTGACATAGGCAAACAAGTTCCTGCCTGAGCCTTCACGGAAACAGACCATACCTTGACTTTGGCTTTTCAGCCTTCACACCATGGCAGGCAGCTGCCACTTGAGACACTGCCCTCCACCATTTCCATCCCCATGGTTATCCCAGGAAACTCAACAGAGAGATGCTCACTTCTCCCCAGGGCAGAGAAGTGTCAGGAACAAGGCTGGACTGCAGCTCTAGAGTAAGTGTGCCCTTGACCCCTCCCTCCTGCCCACAGTCTGGCCTACCCGGCAAATGCCGGCCCGCCTTCACCATCAGACCTAAACCACATTTCCACTTGTCCTAATACCACAGGATTTTCTTTCCTTTCCTTTTCTTTTCTGTTTGTTTGTTCAAGACAGGGTTTCTCTGTGTAGTCCTAGCTATCCTGGAACTCGATTTGTAGATCAGGCTGGCCTCAAACTCACAAAGATCCGCCTGCCTCTGCCTCCCAAGTGCTGGAATTAAAGGTGTGCACCACCACTGCCTGGCTACCCTAAGGTTTCTAGAATGTTAGGTTGTTTAGCAAATGCATTATTTCTTATCACTGCATTTGTATTAGTATCTAAAACTAGCTCTGGCGAAACGTATAACGTGGTATTTTGAAGGCTTTACATTGACGACCATATTGTTAGCTTTACTTCTCTGTATTTCTCAGTACTATTAAGGTTCAACCACTATCCCTTGCTGTTCCCTGCAATAACTGGAAGCAACAGAAGATTCTTGGCTTTCTTCAAAGGCTGAGCAGTGGACTCTGGGCCATCACCATGAATGCCAGCAGCAAAGAGCTCAGAAAACAAAAGGCACAAAGCCTGGATTTTAAGGCCAGTCTAACAGGAAAACCTCAAGTTAGAACTTAAAGGGTCATTTATAGTTCATGCTTATTTCTTTCAGATATCACCAAATATAACCACTCTTAAAAATTCCTGAAGGACACAAGTCTTTTAGACAGCCACTGGACAACACCTCTCAGTATCTTTTAGGAGAACCAAACAGCGCCTTCTGCTCTTCTGTGAGCAGGGACCTGACTTCCGTATAAACCAGAAGAAAAGGCGTTTGGGAAGGGAAGCCTGCCGATTGATCAACTATGCCACAAGCCATTGGAGAGCACACAGCAAACAGCAGCGGGGCTTTATGGATCCCACAGAACCGGGCTCGAGGGCCATCAAATACACAGTGCGGCCACACAGAAGCTCGGGGGCAAGGGCGATTCTTACCTGTACTTCCACATATGCACTGAACTTGCCCACGGCGACACTTCAGTTCTCATTCCGGGACATAACTGAGTGCTTTTTAGTTACACTGACTACACTTTTAGTTTACTTGTGATTTTTCATGCTTTATGTCAGCCAATGATCACTTTTAATACATCTGAGTTTATTGAATACATTAATTTTAATAAATATTAATTTCATAGAATGGACAAATTTACAATGATCATTGGCATAGTATTAACTTTGTATTGTTTTAATTAATTTTGAGGATAAAAATTCCTGGACTCTCCAAAGAACACAGAAATGTTTATAGCTCCCAAGCAAACCTAACCCAGACAGCCCTGGCTGTCCTGGAACTCACTCTGTAGACCAGGGTGAGCTCAAACTCACAGAGATCTGCCTGCCTCTGCCTCCCAAGCGCTGGGATTAAAGGTGTGCGCCACCACCACCCAGTAGGAAAAAATTAACTTTAGTATTTATTTATTTGGTTTTGAGACAGGGTAGAAAATTGTCTTAATAATTTTTAATTGGTTCTTTTTTCTCCTATCATTGTATTAAGGTTTAGAAAACTAATTAACCCTGTAAAGATTCTACTTAATCCATTTTCTGTTAAATGGCTTCCAAAACATTTAACCCTTTGTGCTACCAACTGTTTGTTCATCTCTCAGCAGGCGTGAAATGCAGATCTTAATGTTTGGTTTTAATCGACACACGAGTTAAAGTAGTTTGAAAATTATTTGCCTAATTCTGCTCAATTCTTCCTCCTCAGGCAAGAAGAAGCCACCTCTACTGTGGGGTCCCAGACAAAAGCTCTGGCCTCCATCACAGACTCAGGTCATAAGGACGCCCGGTGACAACCGAAGGCTGCACCATCTTAGCGGTCACTCATCACTTTGAGAACAGATTTCTTCTTTCTGTAACACAAAGCTCTTTCAAGGGTTCAGCTGCTATAGCCACTGAAGGCCACATGCAGGCTGTCACCTCCAAGACCCTCTTTTCAGGTCACCTAATCGTTCTTGTCAAGCTTTCCTTCTTCTACTCTTCAACCAAACATTTTTTGTTGTGTGTGCACTTTAAGCAGTCTTGTCCAGGTATCCCTCAAAAGGCTCATGTGGAGTTATCAGGGTCAGTATGAAAAACTGGATAACTACAGAAACAAACCGAAGGGGAGAGCTTGACAAGGTAGAGGAACTACATGAGTAAAACCAGGAAGACAGTGTAGACAAAGTGAGACACACAGGGCAGCCTGCAAAGAAAGCCCTTGAGGGTTATCTAGCACTTTCGTTAGGCCAAAGAAGACTAAAGGAATCAGAGCGCACATTCTGTGGGTGACAGGAACAGACTGAGGATGGAGGGGTGGTCACTGGCGCAGGTGTAGGAATGACTTAGACAGTCGGTGGAAGGGCAGGAAGAAGTGGCAGTGTGTGGGGAATCCAACAGGGTCAGCATGAACTCCCTCCCCTCTTCCATCATACAGAGAGTACAGTGATCCTGTCTCAGGTAGATATATATACTGAGGGAGAGACAGACGGACATGAACATAGACAAATGGTCATGCTCTCTCTACTGAAGGGCCTAGAAATAGAAACGCCAACAAAAATGAGCCCCTAATACAGGTTCCAGTTTCTAAATATCATCCACCAAAGGAGCTAGGTCTCCTCAGAGCACCCTGTAGTGTGAGGACAAGCTCAAGGAAGCTAGGTCTCCTCAGAGCACCCTGTAGTGTGAGGACAAGCTCAAGGAAGCTAGGTCTCCTCAGAGCACCCTGTAGTGTGAGGACAAGCTCAAGGAAGCTAGGTCTCCTCAGAGCACCCTGTAGTGTGAGGACAAGCTCAAGGAAGGATGGCCCAACAAACCACGACGGTCACAACATACACAGCAAACCAGGGAGCTGGTACCAACATTAATAAGTTCTTCAGTCCGTAAAAACAGGACACCCAAGACCTCGCCTGTGTCCAAAGATGAGCACATAGAGACACTGCAGTTGTGTTGTGGTTACGTGAAATACCCATGTTTACAGGAAACACATGCTACTCGAGAGCCAGGGAAGATCATGTAAGAACTTACTCTCAAACACCTGGGAGAGCACCTTTTTCTGCTATTTACAACTTTTCCCTAAGTCTGAACCATTCTGAAGACACTTTGCTAATGGTTATCCATAGCGAAGAAGTTGGTCTAGAAAGCCTTCCAGATGAACATTGCTGTCAATGCCCCAAGAGAAAACCAGGACAACGTAGATGGGTCCCAGTCCTGAAGAACAGAGGAGCAGGCTAGGCCTGGACACCCTTAGGAACTCACTGACGTGGGAGGTCCAGTGACGTCAGGCTGGGATGAGAGAGGCAGAGAACCCCCCAGAACCACAAAATAAAACAAAAGTGAACATTAAGGGGCCTCAAGTGTAAAGAGGACAAAGTGTTTTTTCCTCACAGTATTTGTGGTGGGTCGAATAGGAACGGCCCCCATAGACTCATGTGTTTGCATGCTTGGCCCATAGGCACTGTTAGGAGGTGTGGCATTGTTGAAGGAAGCGTGTTACTGTGGGAGCAGGCTTTGAGGTCTCATATGCTCGAGTTAAGCCCAGTGTAGCACAGTCTGCTGCTGCTGCCTGCAGATCAAGGTAGAACTCTCATCTTCTCCAGCACCATGTCTGCTCGTATGCCGCCATGTTTCCCACCATAATGATACTGGACTAAAGTTTCTGAAACTGTAAGCCAGCCCCAATTTAATGTTTTCCTTTTAAAAGTTGCAGTGGGTGCTGGCTTTGGCAGCACATATACTCCAATTGGAACAATACAGAGAAGATTAACATGGCCCCTGTGGCAAGGATGACATAAAAATAGGTGAAGCATTCCGTATTTTCTTTGGGGGGGGAGGTTCGAGGAAGGGTTTCCCTATGGCTTTGGAGATTGTCCTGGAACTAGCTCTTGTAGACCTGGTAGCTCTTGTAGGCTGGTCTTGAACTCACGGAGATCCTCCTGCCTCTGCCTCCTGAGTGCTGGGATTAAAGGTGTGCACCACTATCGCCCAGCGGGCACTCACAGCTTTAACCTAGAGTAGAGTCCACGACGGCTCACTCCAGTGCCAGCACACTCAGTCTTAGACTCCCACACACTAAGCTCACCCCCTGCCCCTTCACAAAGTGGACTTGAAGCCTAGGACTACCTCCCATGGGTTAGCCACTGCTTTCTCCCCAGCGCAGCCAGAAACTTATGATGACTGATGGTCACTCTGACAAGCCTTCAAAAAGAGATTCACCTTCTCCTTATGGAAGCTTCCGCCACTATGTCTGCTTGACAGCTAAACTTCCCACTTCTCCAGATGCCACTGATCCTTTTCCTCTTTTTGTAGAGCTAGGGGTCAAACCTAGAGTCCCATTCAAGGGCTCTGCCCTGAGCTGTAGACATCTATTGCCCCTCTGGACCTCTCATGTTGTCCAAAAAGCAATGAATTTATCAACCAGGATAACAATGATGGCTGAGACGATGGCTCAGTAATAAGACTGCTTCCGGGCAGGCATGGCTCCGTGTGCTCCCCCACCCCCAGCAGTCTCAAGGGAAAAAGGCAAAGGACAACAGAGGAAGACACCTGACACCCTCCCCTGGCCTTCGTATGTTCACACATGAGAACACGCCATACTCCACACACAAACACAAAGAGAAACTACTGGTAAACATGAGACACAAACTGTAAGAAAAATTGAAGCCCAGGGTTCCTTTCAACAGGAAAGCTTTGCTAGGAAGAACTAGAGGAAGCAAAGGGAAGATCCAACTAAGAATCACGTGAAATGAGAAACTGATGCCAACGACCTTGGCTTGTTCACCGGGAGAGGGAGAGGGAGAGGATCGGATTAATTGAACAGAGGGTCTAGCAGGAACGTCAGAGGAAGGAGGGCCATGGTCAAGCTAACTGCCCACAGAGGGCAAGCATTATGTTTCACTTTGCCCCATCTAGCTGCTCTACCCACAATGCCTGGCGTCAGTCAGCCTCTGACTGTGTTTCTTCTGTCTCTGTGGCTGTGTCAGTATTATCATGTTTGCAACAGGAAATCATCTCGTACAAACAGCACGTTATCACAGGGAATCAGGGACCCCTGACACAAGATACAAGGTAACTCCACCTGAAGGCTCCCTGCTTCTGAGAGTGCCTCTCCTTCTAAGGCCCTTCATGAGACACAGGGTGGCCACCTGGCACATGGGCACCTGTTCTTAGTGAGGGCACAAAAGATAAATACTCGCCATAGGGTTCCCAGTAAATGTGCTCAAATTATAAAAATCGCACTCACTTGTACAGATAACTGGGTATTTCTAAAATGGCAGCCCTCTACCTTCTGGGCAAGCAACTACAAATCCTCCACTATGAACCATGGGCTGGAGAAAACTGAATTGACTCTTCCAAGAAGTCCCAGTGGCACCCGGCCCTAGCTCAACTGCCTGAGAACCCCTGCCCAAGCTGCAACACTCTTAGTGAACAAACAATAAATCTGAACTATGCTCTACAAGAGACTTCGGAGCAAAGAGGAAGCTTTTAACGGTGAGCCACGCCAGCTACGAGCTTGGACAGTGAAAGTCCACTGGGGTGGGGAGGCTGCACTGAGTCAACAGCAGATGGGAATCTTCTGCATTCCAGTAGTGCACAGTCATGAGGAGCCACCTCTGCCCCGGATGAAGCCATTGGCACCTTACTTCCCTCGCCAGCCTGCACTCCATGTCTGTCAGGGTCCTCTTCATTCACAGGCGCTTGGCTGAAGTTGCTTTGTTATTACAGAAACAAGCCTCCCATTACCTCACCGCGCACCACCCAGCAGTGTCCAGACTTCCTGCTCAAGGATGGTGCTCCCCACTTGAACCCTCCAAGGAGGCAGTGATGCCAGTCACATCCAGCACTGTCCTGTAGCAAGCAGTCCTTCGACAAAGAGAACAAAGAGAAGACCCTCTGCTGAACAGAAACTTCACAGTAAGGCTAGAACTGCTTTAACAGACTTAACTTAAAATTCCAGGGCTGGGATGTATTCAGTACAGAGTCTTGCCCAGCTGCATGAAGCTGGTTCCATCCCCAGCACGGCCTCTCACCCACACAGTAGAAAGAGAACCAGCTCTTACAGCCTGACCTCTGACCTCCATATACACTCTGTGGTCTGCACCATAACTAGCCCCCAGCCAGACACACACAAAATAAGTAAATAAACGTTAAACAACAACAACAAAAACACTGGTGGGTTTAGAGGTGGAATATTCAAGACAGGAGCAGCAGAGGCAGCAGCACTCAGGAAACACACACACACACACACACACACACACACACGCACACACGCACACGCGCACACACACACACACACACACACGCGCACACACACACACACACGCGCGCGCGAGCGCTTTAGTAACACCAGGTGCCATCTTCGATTGCATTCGGTCTTATTTTTTGAGACGGGTTTCTCACTGAGCTTGGAGCTCAGCACTCTGTCTGGACTAGCAGGCCAAGGGCCGCTCTGCCCCGCCAACACTGGAATTACGGGTGGGTCACCACACCTTGCTTTTCACAGGTGTTGAGAACTCAGGTCCTCACTCTGCAGCAAAGTACTTTCTGCACGGAGCCATCTTCCCAGCCCTGCGACCTTGTTTTAAGATCCCTCAGTGGTGTCCTGACGGGCATTCACTGGGTGGGGAGTGGGGCCCTCCCAAGAGCCCCAACAACAGGAGAGACGTGCCCGAGGACACAGTGAAGTCCGGTGCCCTGCTGCTCTGAGGGATAATAGGACAAAAATCCTTTGAAAAAATATGTTCTTTTTCCTGTAGCAAGTATAAGTTTTATTTATTTATTTGCCTGTTTGTCTGTTTGTTTATTTTGGTTCTTCAAGACAGAGTTTCTCTGTGTAACCTTGGCTGTTCTGGAACTTGCTCTACAGACCAGGCTGGACTTGAACTCACAGAGATGTACTTGCTTCTGTTTCCCAAGTGCTGGGATTAAAGATGTGAGCCACCAACGCCTGGCTCAAGCAGAATCTTTAATGTAAGAGCTTTAATACTGTTTTGTTGAACCTTGTTTTACAAAGACAGACATGGAGCAAAACTGAAGCTGAGCAGGGAGAGGCAACAGCAACACACACGTGGAGAGCAACCTGCCACTGAAATGACACACAGACTCTGAGCAGACGTGAGTCAGAGTCCACAGGGCGGCAGCACCCAAGCCTGACAGGTAGACAACTAAGGGCTGTGGCCACATCACACCTACAGGAAATAGCAGAGCTTCTTGACCTCAGGTCAAGGCTAAATCAAAGATCTGAATTCCCCGGGGGTCACCTTCTTCCAGGGGACAAGCTAGGACAGTACAAGCAGAGGTGAAAGCTTAGATGGTGTCACATCCCTGTCACAAGGGCATTTCCAGTTATCATCTGAATTTCCCCACAGTCATCTTCCTGCTTTGGGGTTCAAGAGCTAAGATACAAGGGGAAAGTTTTGTTTCTATTGCTCTGTGATGGAAAAGCACTCCACACTTTAATTCAGTAAGAGACTCTTGAATCCAGCATGCCTTCTGTCTGGTTTTGTTGTTGCTGTTGTTTTGTTTTTCGAGACAGGGTTTCTCTGTGGCTTTGCAGGCTATCCTGGAACTAGCTCTTGTAGACCAGACTGGCCTCGAACTTAAAGATATCCACCTGCCTCTGCCTTCCGAATGCTGGGACTAAAGGTGTGCGCCACCAACACCCGGCCATCTGTCTGTTTCTTTTACTTCAGTATTGAGAAAGAAAAGAAGAGCCCAACAGTAGAGGGTGGACCATAAAACCATCTCTCCCTCCAGAGTGAAGCAGCTGCGGCTTCTTGTCCTTTCTCCAGGCCTTTCCCCAAGCTCTAGACGCCCACGAGCTTCACCTCTATCACTCTTCAAATGCAACAATTCCAAAGAACTTCATTCAACATCTGAAATTATCCACCCCGAGGGTGAGATCACAAGGCCCAGCCCTGTAACCTGAGAGAACCTCAAATCTTCTGTGGCGTCCACCCAGAGCCCTTGCTGTCTGCAGGCATTAGCTAACTGGCAAATCACCCTTTGCTCAAACAGGGTATTCTAATAAGGACACAAAGACAAAGGATCCTGGTTTTGTTCAATTTAATCATCCCCCTTAACGTCTAATCTGAGAAATAAGGCGTCCAGTCCAGATTTAACTCTGGCCACATTTATTGAGGACAGTCCTCGGGGGACTTTATAGGCTATGCCCTTCCAAGTTAGCAACAAAGATGATGTACAGCACACACAGGTTTTGAAAGCCAGACTCTGGGATTATCTGTTAGTCGAAGATCCCACAGCATGCAAAACAGAGTCATTCTGGATCTTGTACCATGGGATGGCATCTCTTGATAGCTGAGCAAGACAGAATAGCAGGAGCATTGCAGACACAGCTCTCTAATTCCAATCTTATTTGTAAACTAAATATCTGAAATTGTGGTGACTGACCCATCCTCCTACTCCTGGATTCTATGCAGTTACTTTACAGACAAAAAACATCATTACTGACTGGTTCCTTAGGTCAAACGGACAGGATCTAGCACACGGAATGAACCTCAGACGATGCCTGTCTCCAGGGCAGCAACATGGGAAATGAGCCTAACTCCTGTGCTGCTGCAGGGTGAGAAATAAAAAACCAACTCCTCCCTCCTCCCCAGCACTGGGCTGAGCCACTCTGAGTATACACAGTGATGCTCCCCACACCAGCATGGGCTGGGGCCACCATGACAGGAAGGACGTGACACTGAGGAAGGAGCTGTCTGCACTTCTTCCTCCCAGAATGCCTCTGGTCATGAATTTTCAGCTGAAAAACAAACGGGAGATTCAACTTTGTCTGCTTGGGATCTCTGACAGAATACA